AAGTCTAATAAAATGGTATTTAATTCAGGATAAATTCCCTGAGAAAGAATAGGGGAGGCTGTCGGTGCCTGAGGAAAAAAAACAGGTTTGTCCTCTAATGTCGGTCAAGGTGGTTTGCTTTGTCGTGTATGATTGAATCACTAGAGCAAGAATATGTGTGCAAATTATGCTAAATCTAATTTGCAAGGATGAATAGAAAAGACATACAAAAGGAAATTATTAGATGTTCCTTTAGCACAGCAGTAAGAAAAGTGGATTGAAGTGTCTACAAAGCCAATACTTGAATGAATGTCTGTCTCTCCCAATAAAACCCTTTTTCGAACAGGAGCCTGCAGTTCAAAGTGCCAGCTGTGGCGAGCTCAATTGTTTGACAATTTTGACAGTGGAAGAGAAGAGAGGAAGAAACATCACAGTTTGAGACAGGCTGGACAAGACCAGAAAGGAAAGCATTTGTAACGCACTAAAACGTAACTTTTATTTTGCACTTTTTTTTTTAACTTTTATGTCAGCTAATTAATTCATCAGTACTTAACAAGAAAACATTTTTATTAATGCGACTTCATTGTACACAAATAACTTGGCATGTCACATTGACACCAAGTGAACTCATTTATTCAGTAGTTCGAACAGCAGGAAATTAACCATCAATAGCTTATAAGCATTAACTGATTTTGTTGAACTAGATTTTATTATGACAATATTATTTTGAAATGTAATTGATTGCAGGTGATAAAAACCTGTTTGTAAATAGTAGAATGTTCTGCCTGAAAAAAAACTAATTGAAAAGTGTCTTTAAATGAAGTTGTGGTAAGTTTGGCTCTCTTTTCTTAACCCTTAATCTGAATGGATCATAATATGGATTTAAATGATGGCTATTCTGACCTAATTCCTGAACACTTCCTGGTGTAAAATATTCATTGCTTTTGACAATGAGGCATGGGGAGATTGGAAATGTGCAGGAGAGGTGGTACTGTAGATCACTGAAGACAGTTTATCAATCACAAGTTGAATAGTCATTACAGGGCTTCTACTTGATCAATAACTAGATGTCCAGCCAATCTATTTATATTTATTTTCTGTTAGCCTCGCAACTAATATTTCATTTATCTTTTAAAATGTTTATGCTTAGTCTTTTAGCCTTCATTTATAATCTCCTGATTATACCTGAGTTAATGGTGTGTTACTGTCATTCAGCCGCTACAGTACTTTGTCCTTACGTGCTTTTGTATTGTACACATTTGACGCTGATGCCCTCTCAACATCTCTGGTTTGAGCACACAAAGGGATCTTAAAAGGCTTCCGAGTGCGCTAAACCGAGGCGGGCGCAGCCGGCTGGCAGCAGGGCCCAGTTCAAAATGGGGGCTGGCATTTACTGTCTCTCACAGTCTGACTCAAAAGACAACAGTTTGAAGCAAGTCATGTCAAACTCCTGTTTATTTGGAATGCTCTTGGATACTTGATAGCTAGCTCTTGTGTTGTTTTATACCTTTTTACCAGAATCTCTACGACAAAGGTGGTGATTCCAACGTGAGCATGACCCCATAGTCACGATGGCAAAATGTATGGGAAATGGGCATTCATATAACACAGTTTTCCTTTACGGTCAAGTGGCAAACACAAACAAATATACCTTATAGGTAGGCACCCATGTTATTACCATAATAAAACATGTCTGACCAAGGAGATAAAAGCATCACCTGCTACGTCAGCAACATGGCCAAAGTGGTCCCATCACAGGCCAAATACAAACCCTGACCTGAATTGGTTTTAATAGTTGCCACTGGCTACAGAGGCAAGGTGCTCAAGGAAGAGGTGGGATTTCAAAAAGTGGTTTCTAAGTGGCATTGTCAGCGATACTCAAGACACAAAAGATCATGCAACAGAGAATAAAAGTGAAATAAGCAGAAAATTGTAGAAACTGATTTCAGAGTGAAAGTGGAATGCTGAATGCCACTTGCAACCAATGAGAACATTTGGGAGAGTCGAAGCACTTAGAGAAGATGGAAGAGAAAGCTCTCAGTCAAATGGCGACTGATGGAGAGAAAGTCTACCTAAGGCAATCATCGGGTCCAAAGGTGAAATGGAAGTGCTGAACTCTAAAAAGGAGCTGATGATGACATTTTCCAATGTTCCAATCCAGGGAATACAGCAATGAGTGGGCCAGTAAGTATTCAGTGTATTGCTCTGGGGCACTTTGAAGGATGCAAGTCCACTAGGGGGATTGAACCTGCAACCATTTTTTCTCTGGGTGGACAGTGTAACCTTTTTGGCAACAATGGCGATTAGAGATAGTAAGTAACATTTAGAAATAATAGATACCATGTGGTTAAAATGTCAAGTCCCGATCAAAGGCTCTGCTGAGAGGCTCTCACAGTATTTTTATGAAACTGTTATATTTCCTTATCCTCATAACCATGGAGGGACATTTGTGAATTCTGATCAACAATAAAACTTGTAAGGAAAATTGCTTGAAATGCAGGATTTCTATATTTGGTTTGGTAATCGTTTAAGCAGTGGAACACTCCAGAGGTTAATGCATACATCTGGGTGGTGGTGATGTCTTCAGTTTGTCAGTCCACCACTTTGGTCCAGAAAAACAAAATCTAAATCTTAACAACTATTATATTTAATACCATGACATTTTGTTCAGATATTCATGGTCCCCTGAGTATAAATCCTACTGACACTTTGAACTGATTTGTGACTTTATCTTGTAGCACCACTATGAAGGTGACATTTGTGTTAAGTGAAATGTCCCAAACTGGGAAGAATTGCTGTGACATTTGGGTCATACATTCAGCTGAAAGCACCAATGTACCCAAGTACAGTCCCAGAGCCACTACAGTCTTATGGTCAGCCTCAGTCATGTTAACGGATAAATAAATGTTTAACACTACACTTTACATACAGTAAAAGCACACAATCAGCTGTCAGCTATCGGGACACAGTCACATCCTACATGTACATTTTCAAAGCCTGACTGAGGCCATGCAATATATATGAGGGTGTGTTGGTGTGTGGATTCATGAGTGTGTCCTCCTTATGCCATCAAAGGCTTTTGGTGGGTGCCACAAGCCTCCACCCTTAGCAAAAGAGGGGCAGGAACTGGCTTCAACCTCCAATTACGACTTCCCCGCCTCAAAGGACAGTCAGGTGGTCTTTTCTCAATCAGGATGGAAGAGTAGGAGGAAAGTGGCAGGATGGAAGGGGAAAGAGGAAGTGAGGCGAGTGCTGCCATTTATGGAAATAAAAAGGGAATTCCTGATATAGTGTTGCCCATGAATATTGAGTGGGCCTGGGCCGGAAAGCGGCTTTGGCTGGTTAGTGGGGATGAAATGTTTTCTGGAGGAAGGAACAAATAGAGATTTTCGTTCGAAATCTAGGCATCAAACACAACAAAAAATTGGCTCTTAAAAATAGGTTTCTGGCAGGATCTACACGAACACAACATAAAATGAGTCAAAACTGTATATTGCAATGTGTATTAAAGTTTAAGCCATATAACAACATTAAATATTTTAAAACTCAGCTATAGATAAACAAGTGTTTTTTTTAGTGTTCTTTAAAGGTGGGGTAGGTAAGTTTGAGAAACCGGCTCGAGATACACTTGTTATATTCCATGGAATGCTCTTAACATCAACACAACACAAAAATGTCATCTGTGGAAGCTGTAGTACTGTAAAAGCACGACCGATCATTTTAGCCGGCCCGGCTAAAATAACTGGATGGCCTACCTGCCTGTCAGCCTTCCATCTGTGCACAAACTTATCTCGTGCCCTCATTGGTCATGTGCGCGTTCGTGTGTGTTGGAGGAGGGGCTCTGTAAGGAAGTGGCAGATTTTTTCCAGCTGTGTATTTTCAAATTCTAGGGCACTCGAGCAGGTTTCTCAAATTACCTACCCCACCTTTAAGGACATAAAATAACAATAGTTATTTCATGCTGATTTAATAACACACTCAACCTTAAGTAAAATGGGTGTCGATTTTGTAATTAAAAATAAAAACCTAAACAAATAACCTTCATTTGGACCTTACTAGTATTTTTAGAAATCAGTGTAAAATTGCATTTGTAGTACTAGTCATCATTTGTAACGCTCATTCTCTCTCTCTTGCTTCTTCACTAATTCTCCTCCTCTTCCTCGTACCTCCTTTTCAAATTCCTCCCTCCGGATCCACATGTTTTCTATAATCTTCTCTATTCATTGAGGCAGTCTACTTATCTTGCCATCTTTTCTATTTCAGTTCCTCTCCAGGATCGGCAGTTCAATGTTCTTCCAATATGACCTTCCCTCTCCTTTTGCTCGTCCCTCCACTAAGCTTCTCGGAGAAGACTGTGGGGTTACGGCCAGTTCAAAGATTGTCTGCAGTCTAAGGGTTGAGTTTATGAATTTCAAAGGCCAATTCAAGACCAGAACAAGGGATCAGACTCTCTAATGAGGACACTGTTCACACAGAAAGATGACATGATGGTATGCATTAACTCCCAATGGCACTAACGGAAAGGCTACCCTGCTGCAGATTTGGTTCCCAGCAAATGTCACTTGATCAGCCATCTGCTGGCTCAAAGTTACAAGTCTTGCATTGCTTGTAACTGATCTTGAGCAACCATCAGATGAAATTACAGTCCAAATGTCAGAGTTATTTTGTGAAACTACACGGTGGCAATCTTTATTCAGGATTCTTTCTGTCCAAGGAGGAAATGTACTACAATTCAAAAGTAACTGAGGCTTAATATCCAACCAACTTGCTAAAGGGCACCTGAATAATGTTTGATGAGGCAGGCAGTAGCTTTCTGCATTGAAACCTATCAAGCTTAGGAATTAGAACCGAAAGCCACACAGTAGTACACCCACATCTCCATCTTCCTCACTATAAGATAGGTGCAGAGGGAAGGAAATATGTGGGCAAGTCTAGAGAGAGTTCACTGGTTATGAATGAAAGCTGGCAAATCAGTGATTGTTGTTACAACACAAACAATTAATAAAAAACAACTTTACAGATTTGAATTTCTACTATTTTCAACTTTATTGGATTGGTAGCAACAACAAAACCATGTTCTTTCACAACATTTTGAAAATAAAAAAATAGATACTATGTAATTTAACACAATCTGCCTCCTATTAAAACATCAGCAGCTTAGTTGATTCAAAACAAATGGTGTGCCATACCTTTGACAGAATTTGTCTGATTTTTTTTGGCTGTACAGCAGAATAAAAACAGATTCACACACAGTATACTCATATACAGTATCATGTGTAAAGTTTTAAACATAACTTAATAAATAAATAGATATTATTCTTTAATTCATAAAAACTATTGTTTTACTAAAAGCCCAGATGAATGCACTTGAAAATAAGATCACTTGTTTGAACAAGATTACAGTTTTTTTTTCTACCACTCAAGTTTGGTCATTGTAATATAGACACATATAAACAATGCATTTTTTAGATATTCATTCATTGGCTCTTGGATTTGTGAAAATTTGAGCCAAGACACACATGTTACATTACCCGCTACAAAAAAGCCCACCAAAGGAATGCATATTTGTGCAACTTCTTACCAAATACTATTATCTTCACTTGAATATATGCTGACGTTTACATTAAATGGTAACGACAGAGCAATTTTTTAGGCTATTACTGAATGTTGTTTTCTTCTGCGTTTGTTGTGTGTCACCATATTGTGAAGGTAATATAGCACTAATTCAGATCCTATACATTTCTTCTACTACCCAACTGCACTTTGCTCCAAAGAAGCACCAAAAACACAAGCTATCAAAATAAAAAGAATCGCATGTTCGGTATTTGACACAGGTCTGCTGTACTCCCCTACTGCTATTCCTCATATCTGCCAGGTCATATGGCTACACAAGGGAATTCACAAGACAAATCTGATGTCTCCTCTTCTCATATATATTGTAGACATCATATAGTGGAACATGAACCCATTTGAAGGAAGTCTGTGATAAATGGGGGACTTGACCCATTCTTGGTTAGACCCATTTGAACTATCAATCATGTCAATGAAAACTAACTTCAGAACTGTCACTTCAGATGTGTTCACAGTCCAACCTTATGTTCATGTAGCTGGAAACTGAAAAGGTGCAGCATGTTTTTGTGCCAGTGATAACTTGTCAATATATTCTTTCACTTTAAATACAAAATACATCTTTAGGCACGTATATACAGAACAGTCTGTAATGCATCAAAGCTGTATAAAGCAATAATTGTTATATTAACACTGAATCAAACAACTCATGGTTATGTTAAAGGAGGTGAATTCTGATGAATCAATTCTCCATACTGCTGCTTTACAAAGATTTGGTCGTTTTGTTGTCTGAGCCAACAAAACTGAAACAACAACAGTACAAACTATGGGCAGCCACTCCCAACTAATTATTATTTCAAGTTGATTCTAGTCTACCTGCCTCAAGCAAATTGCAAAAATCCAGAGCAAACTAATGGCTAGTAAAGAAAAAAGGGCATATGGATAACCCAAAAGAGATTTTTTTCTCTTGGTGATATTGGTTTTCAAAACCTTAGCTTAATAACAATGTTGTACTTACATTCGTCCCTCAAATGTAATAAGCTTAAACCTCATGTACTTTCCGTTGTGTTTCCCAAGTGTTCGACCACTTAATGCTGCTTTAAAATTAGGAATGACTTACGCAGGCCACTATTTAGCAACATAGAATGCAGTTACAACATAAATGGGCTAGGTTTGCTGCATCACTTGGTTTCTAGCTTGAACAAATATACACTACAAGGAAGGCCTAAACCACACTGACACCACTATGCGATCAATGACGATATTTAGTATAAGTTATTGGCTATGGCACTTGGCTTTATTAATGTGAAATTAATTTCCCTTTCACACGGATCAAATGGGAATATACATTGACTCGACTGACTGTACTAAAGTGCTGTAGCAAGGACTATAGTCGTAACCAGTGGCCGTTTTTGAGTTGTTTTAAAAGCCCACATCGTCTGCACTTTGTGTATAAAAAGCCCCAGATTGGGGAACAGTCTAAGATTGAACTGGTCAGGAATGGGCACAGTAAAATAACAATCGAGGTTATCCTTAAGTGGAATTGAGTTAACTACTGTACGTATCTGATTCAAACAACCCATTATGGATTCCATTTGTACCACCTATTCGCTGCCCTTCCCAGTACAGTCATATGTTGAAAAGAAAATTCAACAAGCCGAAATGTAGTTTGATTGCCACTTAGATTTCACCCTGTAGAAAGTGCATACTTAATATTGGGGTGGTTCACAAAGGCATTGACAAGTATCTAAAATTGGGGGGCAGAAGATTTTGTTGTTGTTTTTAAATCAGAAAGTGCCTAGGTGCAGCAGAAAGAGACTGCAATTTAGAAGTCATGAGAAATGTCCGGCAAAAAGTGTAACCAACCTCTACAACATGAGCTACTGATAGCCTGAATCATTTATAACCAAATTGAATTCCAGATTTTCACATTAAACCGAGCCCTGTCCACAAATTCTAGGAATTACAATTCAATATCAATTATCAGCATACATGTAGTTATCTTTACAAAGATAACTATGCTGCCAAAGCAAAACACCCTTAACAAGCCTACATATTCAGGTTTACACAGCCTCTACTATCACTTACCTATACTGAAGTGACTTTTGTGAGTTTGTTAAAAGCAAAACCCAGGAGGTGCATTTAATAATAAGTACATCATCAATTCAGCTTAATTACCGAATTCTGTTTTGAAACTAAATACCTTGCATTATAAATAATAATGTGAATTAAATGCAGTTTCATTTTGTCAATGCTCTTTGTTCACTATCCAGTATACATGGCTCTGTATAAACAGTATATACAGGGTTGGATTTAATATTTATTTGCTGGTTAGAAATGGCTGTCATGAGCGCTCATGCATCAAACTGTTAGCAGAATACTCATAACACAGCCATATCAGGAATGCCACACAAATGGTGGGAATGCTGTTGCTGTTGTGCATATGCGCAAAGGCGGACCTTGAAAAAAGAAAAGAATAAATTGTGTTCACAACTTACAATATAAAGGTCTCAGTGTCAAACAGTCACATCCTATGTCTGAATTCTGACAATAAGGTGCTCTTTAGGGTTACACCAATCAATTGGCAATTAACTATTCTCAGCTAATATTTAAATTGGTAAACAATTAAAACAGCATATCATCTGTTAAGAATATGGCACAGTTCAAACTACAGCAGTAGACAATGGGTTGAATCTGTTATGACAATTTGATGTCAATATACGTTAGTAACCATTTTAAATCAATTGAAAACTTTACTTATTTCTCATTGTGGGGATTTTGACTTTATCTAGAGAGTTTCTACATGCCTTAGTTACGTTGTTTCTTTGCAGTACTCAGTACGGGTTTAATGTTTGTGATGTATGTTTTGCCAAACTACAGTGCCATATTACACACCGTGACAATATCAAAACTGTCAAATTGATGATTGGCTAATCACTCTAATAATAGAAAAAAAGTGTCAACTGACCATTAAATCCTGACCTTTTTGCTTACCTCTTCAGTTCATGTTATGTTTACAGATTAAACAAAAAATTGTTCAGCAGGAATGGACTGTGCACTTTCCTCTACCAAACAGTCGAGGCCAAACGCCAACTGTTATCATAGCACAATAGCTGTCATTATCACTGTGTGTTACTACAGTTAAAAAGTCAATGTTTTACAACCTTTAGAAAGGTTTAAGAGAACGAGTACATGTAGGTTATCTAGTCTCAGCTAATGATAGTAATAGAAACAACAAATACATCCAAATGGAAGGTTGATCTTATTCATAACCACTTACTTACTGCAACAGGAATGAAACAGTAGTATCACATTTGGTGTCTGAGGAGATATTTATAAATCTTTTAAAGTTAACAGTTTTGTCTTCCAACTACTGTATGTCTGACCTGGCTGATGACATACAATGTGATGTAAAGGCTAAGAAAGCAATGGGGAGACTACTTTCAACATAATCTACAGCCAAGGTACATACCACAGGATAAAAAGCCATCACAGATTGCTATCTCTTTAAATCTCTGTTTAGACGCTGCACACATGTGCTCTAAAAGCTTGTAATGCAAATAAACATTGTTTGTGTGACGAAGGCAATGTCAATGGAGTCAGCTGACAGGCTTATACATAAATTGCTTTCTGTTAGGTAAGCCGTGCCAATATTACTGAAATTAACTAGCTGCTAAGCTTTGTAATATTTATGTTCCCCACTGATAGATTCCAGCAATATTGTCATCCTGAAACAATCCTCCCTTCAGATGGAGCATGAGTTTGCCCTTTTCCTTGGTTTAGGCTCTCCAAAGTCCCTGTCATCTGCCGCACAGTGGCTGAAGGAGCACATCGTCTGCGAGAGCCTACGCATGCCTAGGCGGAACACACTATTAGACAGGCTGTAGATGACACAGTTGCAAAAGCTGTTGCTAATGGCCAGCCAGGTGGTGATGAAGGAGAGGGCAGGACTATCCAGCACATGGGAGCTTTCAAGCAAGAAGTAAATTATGTAGGGCAGCCATAGCATGTAGAAAACGCTGGTGATGCGGAACAGCACCATTGCGTATCGCCGGTCTGGTCCATGATGGCCACTGCCACCCCCTTCACCTGTCTCCATCTCTTGGCTTGGGAAACGAGCCCGTCTTTCACTGATATCCCTGTTGTGCTGCTGGCAAATGCGAAATATATGGTAATAGGTAAAACAAACCACAAGTGCAGCAGGCGCATAGAGCAAACATACCACAAAGCCTGTAAAGAGGGCAGAGGTGGGCCAAGAGTGAGCGCACCACTCAAAAATGTCCCCATGATAGCCTGGCTTACCCCAACCAAAGAAGGAGGGCAAGAAAACCAGGCTAGAGTAGACCCAGATAAGAGTGATGCAGCCTCGTAGCCGGCATGGCGTCACCAGCTGGTTGTAAGACAGTGGTTTTGTTATGGCCAGATAGCGGTCCACGCTGATGCAAGCCAAGCAGGCCATTGAAACACTCTTCAGAACAGAGATGACGTAGCTAAAGACCTGGCATGTTATGGGCTCCTGGACACCTGCTGGGTAGTGGAGTAGCGATAGGGTGGGAACCAGGCAGCTAAGACCCACCAGCAGGTCCGCATAGGCCATGGTCTGGATGAAGTAGCTGGTGGTGTAGTGATGTAACAAAGGGGCACAGTGGAACACAAAGATCACCGTCAGGTTCCCTGCAATGATCAGCACGGTCAGAAGTACAATGACAGCAGTCTCCAGGACACAAGCCTCCAGGCCTTCGTTCAGCCCCCAGCCCAAGGGACAAGAGTGGTTGGCGGCCCTTCCAGGAAAGAAGTCTCCATGACTGCTGTTGGCAGTGAGCAATGGGTCGGTTGTCAGTTCAGACTGGTTCATTGTTCTGGGTGCTATCCAGGTGGGTCAGGATTGTGGTGTGTCACACATAAGGCAGCTGGCCTGAAACTGGAGAACTGCCTGCCCCCCCCCCCCCCCCCGATCTACACCGGGTGTCTGCAGCCTTCTTCAGTTAACAAGAGCTCAATACTCTCTGTAACACACTCACTCTCCTTTTCACCTTCCTCTCACATAGCTGGGTCTCAATCAAATGAACACTGAATGGAGGACAATCAATACTGCCTCTGGGAGGGTAGGACAACCTGTTTAGCTCTCCTTTTCCAATCACTCATGGTTAGTGAAAGTAGTGGGTGGTTAACAGTCGGGAGTAGAGAGAAAAAAACAAAACTGTATTCCTTTAGTAAACCAGCGTAGCAGGAAAGTGTTGTGACCAGCATCTATCCCAAAGGCGAGTTTCCCCGCTGCTTTGCCTGCCAGTCTGTGGCCTTAGCTCCTGATCCTAATGAGGGTTGCCACCGGGAGGCTGAGGGCATAAGCTGTCCACACAAGGGCAGAGAGCGCAGAAGATGAGGGGGAGGACAACATTCAACGAGGTTAAAGCATGAAGCAAAGCACAATGCTGTCAGCTCTTAACACATCCTCACAGGAGATCAAATACGTTAGAAGCATTTGGCTCCTATTTCACTCCATGACATCAGATGACATTTACAGAAACCTTTAAAAATTGAGTTTTTGGGCAACCATTGCTAAGAGGAAAAAAAGTGTCTTAGGAGTCTCTCTTTGTCTATACCAAAGTTTGGAAAAGAATATAACATCCATCTCTGCAAATCAGCTCTTCAATTCGATCCAAACTTCCTCTGTGCCATTGGTGCTGGTGTGTTTACAATGTAACAGTAGGCTTCCCCTTATTTTGGTGGTCCTCTGGTCAGTGTCTGGAGCCCATGCATGCCCAGCTTTTGTCTGAATCAAAACACAGACACAGGCTAGAACAACATGGGGATCTCCGCAGGAGATAATGTCACAGCTCTCTCTGCACACACAGCGGTGGGTGGGGGGAAAATGTGTATACAAGGCATCCCTAGGCAGAATGAGGGCAAAACCAAGCGCTTTAAAATGTCTGGATGAGTTTGGCTATTAAAGTGATTTAAAGTTGAAATCCAAATGTGCAAACTTGCCTCTCAGTGTTCTGGACTGCAAGTCACGAATGAAAAACAAACAAAAAAGTCCAGTAGCAGATGAAAGTGTTGAATGTAATACTCCCATGCAAGCAGGTGGAAGGACTCTCCTGGAGCAATGAGAGGCCAGCTGAATAGCTCAGCGCTCCTCTCACTTTGACTCCTCAGCAATCCTGTGGCAGACACTTGCAGAGGGGGGTGTGAGTATCAATAGGCAATCCACCTATTTATCCCATGAAGTGTAACTTGCATTTTTGTTGTGATATTTGTATGCATTTGCAGGCAATACCATCTCTTCGGCTGCATCATGTAGCCATAGATTTTCTAACTTGCTTTTGTCCTTAATGTATGTGCTGTTTGGTTGTAGAGGTATGGGATCCTACAACTCCTCTCTCAGTATGTCTGTCGCCCTGAACAAAACACTGGTAGCGCAACAAAAGGGAATCCACTCTAGCAGCACAAAGAAAATACCAAGTCCCATTCGGAGTCCCAGTTTCAAGCACTGTCCTCTGCAAACGTCCCCAACCCACGATTTTAATAAATAAATCCTTGGATCCTGGCATACAGATAGAGATGAATGCAATGCATCTGTCAAAAGCAGCAAGTAAAAAGCAAGACAAAAAAGATGAGGGCGCTGATGAAAATGAGTTAAATCTGCAGCGAGGGAAGCGAGGGGACGAAGAGTCCCTCAGCCCTGGTGCAGTGAGAAGGAGAGATGCTGTGACTGGCTTACACTTCCCTCCCTCCCTCTCCACACAATCTCTCTAGCTTGCACACTCAGCCTCTCTCTCTTTCCACACACACACATACTCAAAAACACACACACATGAACCCTCCCTCTTTCTCACTTTCTCTCCCTGAGCTTTTTGCTCATTGCCCCGCCTCCTCCCATCCCAGCTGCACCTGAGGCTCCCTGCCACATTATTCTGTCTCTCACACTGGCTTTCTCCCAGAGGTACATTTGGATACATTCCCTATTTACATATTACTTATCTCTCAGTCTCTGTTTTCTATTAACTAAAGCCCCCCACACACACCCTCTTTTCTTTCCATCCCTATTTCTGTCCCACTTCTTCCACATAATCTCCATTTTCCATAGATCTAACTATAGCCCCAATAAGTAAACTTTTTTTTTTTTTAAAACTAAAAATATACCTTTTTTTTATAATATACTTTAAAATAACCAACAGTATTTCAAAAATAATTATAGATACAATATCACACCAATAATGGGGAAAATGCACTTTTCATGACATCTTTCTTTGGGGGAAGAAAGTGTCACTGGTCATCAGCCTCACTATTATGTTCATGAATACCGGATGACCCTCAATCTCAATAATCCAATGGAACATCTTGGACATCTAATCCTAGTCAAATGAGTCCTCTCCCCTATTTAGCCAGATACCAGGTTCTTTTGGATACTTCATGTATCCTTTATTTAACAAACAGCAAGGCACAGCTATACCTGCCCCTTGGTTACAGTTGCCCAGCATTTGGGCCAGTTGGGAGCATCCTCTGGCCGACAGATGATAAGGAGGATCAAGTGACAGCAAATTGGCTAAGCAGAAGGGAGGATGGAAATAAATGGTCATGCTTTGTGGCTTGGCAGGAAAAAATAAACTTCAGGGCAACTTTTCTCACATTGTTGTTTTCATCGTATTTTAACAAGAAAAGCAAAAGAAAAGCAACAGGAAGTGGTTTTTCGAAAGATGAATGGAAAATGGCCACTTTGGAAAGCACATTTCCTCTTCCAGAGTGTGGTAATTTGATTATTTGGAAAAGAAGCTAGCTAAAAGAGCTAAATCCGAACGGCAAAATATAGACTTTCTGCCAAGCAATTGTTATTCACCTTTGTGTCAATTGGACAAAACTAAATTATTGAAAAGCGCAAATCTACACCGAACCATTAGAGCAAAACCAAATGTGTTATCTAAAAAAACAACAGGAGAGACATTCACAGACAATGGCTAAACCTAGAACTGACTAACCCCCAGTTTCCACCGGGTCCGTCTGCGCCGCGTTACGGCTGAGCCGTGTTACGGCTGAGCCGCGGCGGTCGTAAGGATCGCGGCCACTCTAGTCAATGGGTGCTATTCCACCACACGCGCCCCGTTACGGCTCAGACGCGTCCCAGAAGCTCCTCGGCGCAGCGCTTCTCTAAAATTAGGATGAATCCTATTTTTGCCGCGGCGCAGCCGTAACATAAGGTCGGGCAGGCAGCCCCCCCTCGCAGGAAGTGGAAAGGTGAGCATCCGGGCCAGGCCCATCCCCCACATATACTAATTTAGCAGACCCCCCTCCTTCATCACAACACCTCCACTACGATACGCACAATGGACGACGAGGTTTTCATCATGGAAGTGGACTATTACAATTATTATTAACTGTGTCTGTAGACTACAACACAACAAAATAGGAAATTTATAACAACAATAAACACAATTTAAACAGACACAAAAATAAAACATTTAACTACGTAGCCTACTTACTTTCTTGTAGAAGTACAAATGTCCAGGATGCCCGAATCAATAACAAAACTGCGAGCCTGCACGCACGACGCTACGCTTCTGAAACGCTTCTGAAACGCTTCTGGGACGCGTCCGATGGGTTATGGCGCTAGAGGAGGTCGGACCAAAACCGCGACGCAGCCGTGACGCGGCACAGCGCGGCGCAGACGGACCCAGTGGAAACTGGGGGTGAGTGTCCTTGAGGAAGATGTAATGCAATGTCAGAAGATTACACAGGAAAATGTGGCATGCAGCCAATCCAATACTTTAAGAGAACTGTTTATGACGGAGCATTCAATCCAATAAAAACGCCCAGGGACTACAGATGAAAATTAGCTCATCTTACTCTGCCATAATTACATTCAGGTGGAAACTGAAATGTTGAACAATGTCCCCTGTCCCTGGTTAATAGACACATCTGCAGTTTAGGGTAACCTAGCAATACCCATGATACTCACGATAGTTAGTGGATGAGGAATTAAAAAAGAACATTGGATAACATCAACAAACATAAGTATTATTACACTGATCATGTTAATATAATTATTATATAAATAATGGCATATATATACGCACATAATCAAAATCACTGCTGAGCGAACTCTGTTGTAACACCGTTATAACATGGAAGTTATATCAGCATCAACACCAAATGTAGTTTAAAGGGAGCTAGTGAAACTGTACAACTGGGAGAACATATAATGTGTCAGCTGTTACAGGTTTTAGCTGGATGAGTATTGTCTGTTAACTAATGTTTATGAGATAACAATTAGAGGTTCAACTTGTGATGGAGACCGCATATTGGTCAGCACCTCTGTTGGTAAATCTGGTCATTCAAAATAAATGGTGTGATGGAAAAACAGAAGAGAGGTCAGGAAGAAAAGAAAAGTAAAAATAACTACACAAAGTAAAGACAACAAAAAAGTGAATCTAGACAGTTGTGCTGTCACTATGGAAGGAGTCAGTGAATGGGGATCACTCAGTAGAGTGCTCTTTGGAGGTGGACACTGATGAAAAACACGACCAGAAGGCCACCGTTAATAATTCATTCTGCTCCAAAACAAAGCCAGCGGGGCAACTTGGAAACAAAGGTGGAGGTTGATACACCTTTCACTGCTTCCCAGCATCCCACCCTCTTTCACCCCTGGGCTCCAGCTGATTCCAGTCAACAGCAAAGCATTGGCATAAACAAGGATTTACTACATTAGGTGCTATCGACAGCAACACACAGTACAGAAAGTAATGAGGTAGGGGGTTTAAAATCTTTGTAAATGACGTAACGAAGTTGCCTTAATTAAAAGGAGTAACACGGTTAATGTCATAGTTCAATTGGATAAATGAATACTTTATTTCATGTTATTTATAATCGTTAAATATGGCATGATTTAATACAGTTTGTTTTACATCTTGGGCCGATATGCGTATGTGTTTCTTGTGCCTAGGAACTAATGTTTGTTCATGTGCTGGTACTGCGTGTTTTGCTGTTACACTGTACAACTCCATGTGGGTTGACGTCTTTTTGAAGCTCTGCTGAGGTCTGTGATAAAGTTTAGTGTGACGGGAGGTCTGTGACGAAGTTATGCAGAAAAGGAACTAAATTAATCTCCTTTCACGACAAGCGGCCAACGAGGTATTTGTTTTGTGTTTTCATTTTCTTGTTTTCATTCATATGTGTAGCAAAATATGCTAATGTGTTTGGCTATGTATGCGTGTCATTTCGGTGTTGTAGTTCTCACGGCGTAACGGAAGAGGGAAGACTACAGGATGAAAACTCCCAAGAAATAAACGCCCGTTTTAAAGAACCGACCTGTGTCTGTGTCGTGAAAAGAGCTACAGTGAGAACTCGCCTGCTCAGCGCGGGTGGGAAAGACAACGAGACTGGAGCGAGAGACGACGCTGCGTTCAAGGACCATCCAGCACATCAGAGAAGCAACGCCAGCGGTGCACTGTCGGCATGACGACCGCAAGCTACGGTGATTAGACTGTGTCAAAGTCGCAACATTTCAGGATAAAGCCAGGAAGTGCTCTACCACATCCTTCAAGTTAAAGGTGGTGTGAGAAGTGGTTAATCTGGAAATTGCAAATAAGGACTCAGGTCTATCATCTATGCTAAGCCTATGCTGGTGATGAAGCTAATGTGTTGGTGTTCATGAATGGTACATGTCAAAGGGTTTAAAGACGAAAATTAATCATATAAGAAAGTAAAGAAATTATAAGTTAATATTAAAGAAAGAAGATATTATTTATAAGTTCAAGTTAAAAAAGAAGAACGTTTTCACATTTTATGAAAGGTATTACACTTAAAGGACAATATACTTGAGCTTTAAAGGGTCATTCCACTGACAAAAACATTTTCTTTGTAAAGTATAAGTGATGTAATGCCTTTCTAAGCATATTTCACTACATTTAAGGTTTATTAGTAACAAGCTAAATCTTATTCTTGTTGTTGTTATTTTGTTGTAAAGCTGAGGTCAAGTTAAACTTGTTAATGAGTGCATACATTTGATAACCTCACTGATTACTTATGTATACATTCAGAGATCCAATTCAAGCTTAGTAGTTACACATGCTCTATTACAGTCGGTTATAAGTTATTAAGTCATCTCAAAATGTCAGAAGCAGGGACTGAGACCTGCCACAAAAATGCCAAATCATCTGCTCAACTTGAAACAACAGAAACAGAGTTGGCAGAAGAAGTGGAAGAGCTACGAAGAAGTGAAAGAAATCGAACACTAACAGAAAAAGGAAAAGAACTCCAAGCTGAAAAGTTGAAAAGTGTACAACGTCACTACAGAATCGTCTATGAGAAATGGAGGTACCATGTGAGAATAGGCAAAGAAATACTGAATGATGACGCCTCCAAGGATGAATTGAGAGAGCTTATTGCAAATATAAAAAGCTCTTGCTCAGATGTAAAAGCCTTGTATGAAGAGTTACGTCTCATACATACTCCTGAACCGAACCTGCGACGCAGAGTTGATACATGCATATCACTCTCAGGATTCATTATTCGAAAGGCAGAGAGACAGCTTGAAGAGAATACAGCAGACTTAAAGGAAGAATCTTGGCCCGATGTTGGATCTGTTCTAAACTCAACTGACTCTTCATTATCTCCACTGTCTTGTCGATCAAAGTGTAGCTCCGCTCATTCTAGTCTTCTCAAAAGATTTGAAGCTGCAGCTGAAGCCGCTGCATCTCAGGAAGTCCTAGCAGTTTTAGGTGAACAAGAAAAGGAAG